AGCACGTATTGTAGAAATGATAAAAAGCTGGCCTACATAGGCAAAGAACATTAATTCGATTTTTCCATGACCATTTCAATGTGTATTTCAGTTGGTACGTGAAAAATGAATGAAATAACATTTACGTATTCAGCCCCCTTTAACGGCCCACTGTTAGGGACGGGCTTCCCTTAAATACGAGGGGGATCTGGTCCACCATGCTAGCCAAGTACGGGTTGGCGAACTAAAAAGAAGATGTTAGATTAGAGTATAATCTCAAAAATATAATGACATTTTAATAATTCATGTAAATCTAAAATATCTATACATATAATAAAATTGTAACTAAGCCGAATCTGTATATTAGATATTTTTTGGAAAATCTTATTGAAATAAACATTATTATCGATTCAGAGTCCGAATCTATAGTTTTTAGAATTTTTGTCTGTCTGTCTGTTACCGCATCACAGAAAACCACTGGAGGGCTTTTGCTGAAATTTGGTATGGTACAGCTGGTTATCCGGGTCAACATATAGGATATTTTTATCCCAGGAAAATATCTCATTTTTGAGAAAAAATACAAAAACTGAAAAACAAACACACTTTCACATTTATAATATTAGTATGGATATTAGACATGAAGGAAAAGTAACTAATGTCATGAACATATACAGTAAATATTATAATTTACTAGCCCGCAAAGAATTTACGTTCCATTTTCTATTATGCAGCTAATTATGATTACCATCACCAGCATTGAAATAGATAAACTTGATACTTGTTTGTAGCAATTCAAGGACTCGATACTTTAATTTTATGAGGCCAAGTTCCCAATGACCTATTTGTTTATAGCTTTCTTTTATAGTGAAAGGAATATAGCATAATTTGTATGGATCTTTTGGCAACTTTTTATCTCTAGTGAGGAAAACTTTATATCATTATTAACTCTTAAAAACATTAACATTGTAATATGAAATCATATCAGAGTTATACTTCAATCTATTAACAAGGTCTAAGCTCTACATATTTTAAGCCTTTAAAGGCTTTACCTTTTTTTATGCAACTTCATACGTTGAAACAAAAAAAAATATTAGTTTAAAATCATTTAGAAGTCATTATTTTATTTCGTACTAGCGGCTCACTCTCGCTTTGCTCGGATTGCCTCTACAAAAAATAACAAATCTAGCCTACGGGAACCGTACATTTTTTGAGATAAAAAGTAGCCTACGTGCTATTCTGATATATGAGCTATATTATTGTAAAGTTTTATTAAAATCCATTCAGTAGTTTTTGCGAGAAAGAGTAACAAACATCCAGACATGTACACATTCAGGCATCCATAAATCCTCACAAACTTTCGCATTTATAATATAGTATAGATAGATGTTTTTTTTCTTAAATTACCATTTGATTCACAATAACTAACAAAGATAACAAACAACAATGACAGAAAAAAACAGCTGAATAGCCTTTACCCTTTTGAATTCGGTAAAAACGCTACTTTAACCTTTACATTAAAGACATTAAAAGAATCTGTAATTAGTGAGTTCGAGATTTTTAACGATTTCAAAATATAAAAACTTATAAATATTATTTTAAGTTTGTACGAAAAGAACAGACTGGATTGGGGAGCTTTTTGGCTAAGCCGACTGCAGGCTTTTACAGAAAATTGACCTTTATTTTATGTAGAGTTTATGCATTCATGAAACTCGCAACGGCTTCAAAAACGTGTTTACGGAATATTAAATCTATGAAAAAAACTGGTACTGGTTTTGGCTATATTTTCTTAAAATTTCGCTTTAAAAAATGTGTATATGCGGATGTAGTATATGTATATAAAAGCTTTATTTACATAATATACTACATCCGCATCCGTTTCAATAGTAATCTATTCATAGTATAATAAAAATTTAAGTCGAAAATCTTTTTTGTCATAGTCGTCAGTATCGATACAGAGGCCGAATCTGTAGTTTCTGGAATTTTTGTCTGTCTATATGTCATATTTGGTATGATGATAGTTGGTTATCTGAATCAACTTATACGACACATTTTACTGCGGGAAAATATCTCATCTCTGAGAAATCTATACTAAACGTTAAAACGTAACTAGAGACGAACCCGATCGGAGCGAGAACGAGACGATAGTTTTCCTAATAAATCATTACATTATTTGCTACGAAATGGTAATTAGACTAAACGCGTTTAAATCTAGGATATAAGCTATAAACATATATTATATATATATATATATATATAATTTTCGAACTAAATCCAAACATTTTTATGTGCCACGTCATACGAGTAGCGAGTATATTTATATTAATTTTTCTCTCAAAGTAAAGATAGCATGATTTCAAAAAGGAGTGAGTTCTCCTTAATATTCCTTTGTTACGCAATATATAACTTCACCCAATGGTTTCCATATTTCTTTTTATGAAAGGTTTTATTTACCTTATATAAATAATATTATATAAATTTTCCACATCTAACAAATAAAATAACATGGCTTTTTAGTCATATGTACATACAATAAAAATTGTAAAAATTATTATTCATCCTAAGATTATTTGGATAAATTTCGATTTATGTATAGTAAAAATAAATATTTTATTGTTCACAAATTCTAAATTCACAGCTCAAACGCTAATATACATATATAATACTTTCTAGAGCCCTCCTATTGAATACGAAGTATCCAATTCGGAACGGAAAGCGATCGAGCCACGTCGATGATTTCTGCGGTTATGATTAAACGTTTCAATAACGAACGGCACAACGTACTCAGAGTACCTACCAATATTGTTTTTTTTAATTAAAATTAAAAACTACTTATAGAAATTACGTGAATTATTAATTTTGCTGTCAAAATATACCGTTCTATAGATAGGTTTCTATATACTTTATAGTTTCTACTTTTTACTTTCTATTGATAATCTTACTTAATATTTTAAATGTCAAAGTTTGTTTTGATGTTTGGATGGATGTTTGTTACTCAATGACGCCATAACGATTGATTTCCGTGTAATAGATTTGTTTTTGTTTTACTAAAGCGAAGCACAAGTGAGCCGCTAGTATGACTTCATATAAATTAACACAAATTTAAGCTTTTATCTCTTTAACAGTAAGTACGTACTTAATAATTAATATATAAAAATAATATACCAATACCACAAAAATATATTACAAGTCCTACCAAGAGACACTAATAAATTGTAAAGTATATAGAAAATTATATGGTAATAAACACAATTTTGCAATATTTTTGTATACATGTTATAAGCAAAGGTATATAAACCTTTAAGAAAATAAATTAAAACGTTAATTTATACCATAGCACTCTTTTAGCGTCTAGTTTACATATAAAGAAATCTGAAAGACGTTAAGAACTCATTAAGCTAAACTAACGACTTTTTAAAATGGGTAATTTGCACCAGTTTGCTGTAAAATAATATGAAAATTAAAAATTTTACACCCAAAAACATTTACGAAATACAACATTTTAAGTTTCTTAGTTGAAAATTAGAGTTTTAGAAGTACTCTCTTCCCTTCATCTCTTAGTTAATCTGAGGCTTTCAAGAAAATTAACAGTTCATTTGCTTTTGCTTTTAACTGATAATCTGAATGTTTAAGGTTTTGTAATAATATTGACAGATTTTTCATTAATAATGCTAATTATGATAAAGAGATACGATTTTTATTTCGACGGGTGAAAGGCTATTTGGTTTAAGCGACATTTTCTTAACTTTACAGGAGAAGAAATTTAATGATTTTTTTCCAAAAATTTAATTTAAATTAGATTTTATCTTTCGAAATGAATAAAGTTTAATATTATAATCTGAAATACGGGAAAGAGTTTGTATGTTTGTTAATTTACTTCATTTGTGTTATTCAATAATTTTTATAGCCATCAACATATTTTAAATATTTTCTAGACTTTAATTAAATTTACTTTTAGACAAGAACTTTTAGAGAGCAATAAAAACGTATAACACTGTGTGGGTCGTAGGTGTGCAGCAAACAATAGGATTCAACGGTGATAGTTAAATTCACACGGTCTTATTTATTGGTGTTTCTATTCATTGTTACTACGAAGGGTTAATATGGGACAAGGGTACCTATTGTGCGCTTTTTATTTAGTTCCGAATAATGTATGGCTTTTATTCTTTTTCTATAAAAAAAGATAATATTTGTTTGTTTGTTTGTTATTATAATGTAACCTTTTTTCAGTTTAATCATTTATTTTCTTGGGATTAAAAGGCTATGTTACTCAAGATGGATATCTTGTATTTTAGTGAAGGTCTTTATCATAGAAATAATTTTACTAATCTTACTTAGTATTATAAATGTGAAAGTTTAGATGGATGTTTGTTACACAATCACGCCAGAACGGCTGAACGGGTCTGGATAAAATTTGGCACAGAGATAGAAATAACCGCTAGTTTAAAAATATTTTCTTATTTTGTTATGTTCACATTTGCAATTACAATAATAAATATCCTATATTATTAATTTAATAATAATAACATTTAAAACAATAATCAAGTAAAAAGGAAATTTAAAAAAAGTAATAATTAATCTAGTAAAATCTGCCTTCATTTTAGCTTGTACTAGTAGAACAATAAAATAAAAAGTGCTCTGAATCACGGCAACTATTTTTCATGCAAACACTATGTTGTACAATGTACAGGTATAATAAAAATAAAAATATTGTTTTATTTATTTTCTTTTACTAGGATGACATGTAAATATTTTTTACAAATTTAGGGCTAAAATGTTAGAAGGTACTCTCTTTTTTACGCCTATTATTTTTTCTGTACATTAAGATTGTTATTTAAATGAAGAGCCACAAAAACTTAGCTTAAACGAGAATTGAACCAGTGACTTCTTCCACTTAAGCCACTTATTGGTGCCACTATTCTTTAAGGGTCAAATTATTTTTAACATAATAATATATTCAATATATTTCACCTTGTTCTATATAAAATAATTGAAAGTTCCGTTAACACGCAATAAACACTTACCATGACTGTGGATGTAAGTGCACTCCCCCATAAAACATTCGCTTTACTCGGTCATCATCCTGAAAAGATAAAAAGAAAATTTACAGGCCTCTGGTTCTGCTAAATTTATTTGTACATGAGGATAATATTGTGTAAAATTTCGAAACCAAAATACGAGTATTAAGCTAAAAACAGCTTCCGAACCAAATAGAGTGGAAGTTTGTTAAGATCTTTGGGTGTTTCTTATTCAATCACGAATAAACCATTGAACGAATTTGAATCAAACTCTAGAAGCTATCTTTCACATTTTCGTTCAGAGCATATTTGACCGTTTATATTTTGTTTTAATAATTTTAACTAAACTATAATAGAAATATGGTAGAAAAATTTCAATGGACGCAAAATGAATCTCAAAACTTTGTTACTTCGTTAAAATTGGGATATAAAAAGAGTAAAATTTGTGAGTTTGGCAGTTTGTTGCCTAGAGTTTCAGTTTATATTTTTTCCAATAATAAATATATATGTGTAGATAATACTTTTTTAGAATTACGCGAATATTTGATAATTTTTCGGAGCCATGTCCCTCCCGTGACCATGATTGTTGTAAAGCATTCGAATCGTCGAGAACCAAAAATCAGAATAAAAACACGAAAAAATCCGAAAATATTTTTTTATTCAAAAAATATAAGTAGAGCTAATTTATGCGAATATTATAAAGCTTAGGATTTGTTTCTTTTTCTTTTTTTTTCAAACGTACTGAACTATAAGTCCGATTTGAAAAATACTTTTTGCATTTTTTAGCCTATTTATTGAGGAAGACAAAAGCTATCTAATATTACACTACAAATTCTTCTATTTCTTAAAAAAAACATAAAAAAACTAAGCAAACGGAGCCGGCAATTAATTTCATTGCACGTATACACGTAAGGTGTAAAAACTGAAATTCGTAGAAGCGCTTCGCCTTTTAATCAAAGCTACGAGTATCTAGTTGTACTAGAAAAGATATCTTAAGCATTAATTACATCAAAAACTCGAACAGTTTTTCAGTTAGTTAAGGTTCTGCACAATTTGAAGAAACTTTGTATTGCTCACATTTATATGTTGTTTTCAATGTTACGAAACAAATAGTTTTTATTTCTTTTATTTAGACATTTTATTTCAGATTATTTATTTTTATTATAATGTTAATATAACATGCATATTGTAGTTAACAAAGATTATTTATCTTACTTTCAATTTCATTTTTTAAATAAATATTCCTATTTATATTATTATATATCTTTCCAATATGTGACAAAAGTCAAATGGCCTTGTCGGGTCGTCGAAAAAAAGAACTTGACCCCGAAAAAATTCTAGACCAAAATGTTATTTCTCCAGCCTTTAGACTGGAATACATAATCGTCTTCAATCCTGGTACCTCAAACATAGATAATAACCTCGTCTCTGTACTCCTCTTATACCTAGATGTTTTTTTATCAGCAAGATAGAATTAGCAAGATTATTTTTGGGGTCTAATGCTCATCCGATGGGGCTATAATAATAAAATTGTATTAAAACAATAGGCATTGGTAGCTCAGTGGTAACGCGCTCACTTGGGAAACCTTGTGAAGCGGGTTCTAATCCCGTGTTTTGCACCTCTGATATTTTCATGTGCGAATCATTTCCACTATGATTATCACTTGTCTTATGGTCAAGGAAAACATCGCGAGGAAAACTACATATCTCAAAGAATCTAGTAAGTTTTTAAAAGACATGCAATCCACCAACCTGCATTTGGTCAGCATGGTGGACCATGGCCTGTCCCCCCTCGTATTAATGGGAGGCCCGTGCCCAGCAGTAGGACGTTATAAAAGGGCTGAATACCTTCAAATATACATACATTAAACTAGGTTTTCTGGATTAATATAGAAAAAACTTGACTAGTCTTTAAAATGGCCCTAGAGATAAAAAATAAAATATTGTTAACTGAATAGTATGTTAAAAGCACATCATTAAAACGTTGAAATCTTTTGTAATACGCGCGGATGTAGAGACGCTATTATTTTCATAGAGTTCCTGCACAGGGTTTAAAGAATTATTGGTGTAAAGCATAAACGTGATTCATTTTAACTGTTCAGTTTTATCAATTTAGTTACGGTTTCGTGGCCAAATTATTTATTCTAAACACAACATATTTGAAACGAAAATATTTGGGTATGTTTATTTATTGGGAAATTTTTTTGCATGGAATTTTAATTTTCTCTTTGTTTTACACCATATTTTTTTAAAGGTTTGACATAAAAAAGCTATGTGAGAGTGTCACATCACTCTTTACCTTCTCCACTCGCCATAAGAGTCGATGTGCGTGTTGGATGGCGATACTAAACCGATTAATCCCGAACACGAAAACTATTTTAAAAGTTCAAAAATTATTTTAGTTAAATTAATTTGCCTTACAAACTTATCAATTAAAAAAATAAATATTTATATACATTTTAGTGTGATCGGTAAAAATATGTATATTTCATATTGCGTAATTCTTAAAATATCAATATACTCAAAATGTTCTTTTTGTTTGTTATTTTGTTTTATTTGTTGTTTTTTTGGATTTCCTTTAAATAACAATTTAATTTAATATATAATCTATGATCAAACAGTATAATCTGTGACTTAAAAATTTAAGTAGATTAAAAAAGTGAAGTACAAAGATGAAACACGACGTAGGCAGTATATTAAAAATCTGAAAATATAAGTATGAATAAAATTTTAACTTTGAACAGCACTACTCACGTAAATGAGTGAGCGTAGGCAGTAAGATTGAAGTCTGAAACCGCGTTTATTCATAATTTATAGCCACGTTACCTATATTCGTTAAATTACGCTTGTTATAAATGAGATCAAGTGCGTACTGAAATGAACTGAATCATAACATATTGTTAGCGATCAAAAATACATTAGCTCCTCGTAACTGTTGAGTTAAATTTACGACAGGGAACCGTCAATCAGACGTATCCGTTGAATTATTTAGGAATATCTTTATATATATAATTCTTCTTCTGTGTATGTCACTGAACTTCTCTCAAACGACTGGACCGATTTTGATGAAATTTTTTGTGTGTGTTCAAGGGGATCTGGGAATGGTTTAGATTCACAATTTGAATAATAATTTTCATCAAAAAAATTATTAAAAAAAGTTTGAAATTTTCAAATTAAAGACGTGTAGACAGGACAACGTCTGTCGGGTCCGCTAGTCTAATATATTATTGATAAAATCTAGTATTGCCATATTTAAATTTTCTAATATTAACTTATTTGACGGGATACATCGAGTATAATTTTCTATTTGGTGTTTATTTGCTAGTTATATTATTTAAGCATGTTATGATAAAAAAAATTTATTAACGTCAAGACCGTTCTGAGAAACAGAAATGTTGAGACCGAATTCTTTTAAAAAGCCACTAAGAATACTACTTTAAGGTTTTATATATCAGACGTTATTGAAATTAATTATTATCAATTCTTACCTATACTAATATTATAAAGAGGTAAAGTTTGTGAGTTTGTGACATTGTAAGGGGTAATCTCTTCATCTATTGAACCGATTTGGATAAAATTTGGTAAGAAGATAGTTTGAGACCCTGGGAAAGAATACTAGGATATTTTTTATAGAAATCATCCTTTAAGGGGGTGAAAATGGGAATGAAAGTTTGTATTGGGAAGCAAGCTAGGGACGAACCCGAGCAAAGCGAGGGTGAGTCGCTAGTAATTGATAAAACGTTATTAGCAATTATATCTTCAAAAAGACCAATTTTAGTTTTGCTTGTACAATTAATAGCTTACTACGACTATGCCGATAATCGCACACGTAGTTATACTATCGTATGTCACAATAGTAAAGTATTGATTAAAAAGTTTCGTTGTCGGCCTGTATAGTTGAATGTCCCACATACCTTTCGGATTGAGAACAGAATACAGAGGTATTAACGTAAAATCTTCTAAGGATGCTAAGAGCATTCTCAATAAAAAAATACCTTTTGTGTATAAAATTAGCTAGTTTCATAAAGTAAATTAAAAATAAAGCGGTAGAGTTGACCCAGTGGTAATGATCTTGCTTAGAAAATCTGTTGAAGCGGATTTAAGCTCGGGGTCTCTCATCTCTATTATTTCCATATGTGAATCTTTGTCATGAATTCATCGTGAAGAAACTTGCATGTCTGAGAGATTCTAAGCGATTGTTGAAAGATAAGCAAAGTGGCGTACTTTTCTAGTCTTTGTTGAAAGTTTCTCACTCAGTTTCCACACTTGATCAGCGTTGTGGACTATAATCTGATCCACCTTATATTAAACAAGGGTGATTATTAGTACTTTTTAATATCTTTTATTTTTTACAATATAAAAATGAATCGCTGAATGTGTTGGTAAGCGCAAATCTCGAGAGCAGCTGAACCGATTTCGCTAATTCTTTTTTTAGAATATTCCTTGAAGTACGAGAATAGTTCTTACGGAGAGATTTTTTTTTAAAATTGCCTGAAAATGTCTAAAAACAACACTTTTCTATACTCCCATACAAAAGATTCGTAATAATACTTAAAAGTCAATTTGAACTTTAATACCATACCATAAAGTTTAAGTGTTAGTGGAGAGGTTCCGGGAAGGCAAAACAATTGAGAGACGTTAGTATCGTATAAATATTAATGTCAATATTTGTCAATATTATTAACAAATAAAAAAAGTATATGGCTAACGCTGGCTAATAACGATTTATATCTATTTAAAACGTACCTAGCGGCAAACCCGAGCGAAGCGAGGGTGAGCCACTAGTTTAATTTATATGTTTGCAAAAATTATAGACAATATTGTGTTACATGTTTTAATATAAATCAACTTCCTATATAGGTGGTGTTTGCTCTCCTTTAAAATTCTAAGTGATTAATTAGTAATTTCTTTTTGAAGAAATAAAGGTTTCTTTTACAAAATTACCATTAAAAATTATATCATTAAATCATAATGAACTTTCTACATCGAATCCTAAAAACAAAGCGTAA